TTTCAAAGCGAGCAATGGCAACGTTGTACAGAAAAAACATTTTTATCTCCAGCGCGTGAGATTGCGTATCGGAAATTATAAAGATATGCTCAATTTAAATTTTGCGATATTGCTCTTGAACTGAATTTTATGGTCTAAGTGCGAAGGACGTGTTAGTTAATAAATAAAGGTAACAGACAAAATGTTAAACAAAAAAAGCCCCTTTAGACGTAATTTAAAACCTGAAACTTTCAGTTTTTTCCTTTCTTTTTTTTCTTCTTCCCCCCTCCCACGAGATAAAATTTCAGGTACATTTGAACAAAATGGATTTCTAATCCGATTTTCTTTTTCACAATCCTTGGGAAAATACATCTTGAAGTTACTTATCAATGAAAAACAATGATATTTAAAGTCGCATGCTAATTCTTTTATTTTCAAATTATTTTCGGTTAGAAAACATTCTAAAAGTGGGGAAAAGCTTATAATATTACCATCCAATTCTTTGATTATTAGCTCGAACATTTTTATCATTGCATTTATTTTATCTCGAATGGTAAATAAATTAACACTTTGCCCTTCTAATCCTAAATTTAATTCCTTTAAATTTCCAAAATTTCAGCTAAATATCTTAACGCGGCAACCATAATTTACTAAATAAACATTTTTGCAATTAAAATTGTGAATCACGGAGAAAAATATGGATATCTGATCGAAGCTCAAAAAGACGATTTAAAATTTTCCCTCTGGATAACCACCTTATTTCAGAATGTAACAAAACCATTTCATGTTCACTGCCCATCTCTTGGGATAAAATCGTAAATATTATTGAATTTAAAGCTCGGCTTTTTAATAAAATTAACAATTATCACAACTTGATTCAAAACGATTTTCAGGTTTTCTAGGATTTTTTGTCTACTAAAGCTTCACGATGAATGGAGCAGTGAGTAAATTTAATTTCAGATGCAGTTTTCTTTATTTGAGAAATAACACTAAAATGTTTTCCTGTTGTCAATCACTTATAAAATTTCATTTGCAGTTACTCTATCATGAAGCGATTCGCAAAAGAAATACTCTTCGGAAATTCGAACATGTTCTTCGAACGAATTTATCTTCTTCGAAACGTATGTAAACTAGGATACAAAATTCGAATCAGTACTTTCATCCAACAGCAATGCGAAATACTCCCTGTGTGGTTTTTTTTTTTTTTTTTTTTTTTTTTTTTTTTTTTGAATAGATGTCTTTTTTATGGAATTTGCCATTTCATGAATTCGTCGACTTTCTGTATCATTTGATTATAGAATATTATTAAGTTTATAAGGTATTTCTCTCGCCTTCTTAGCCTGCCTTTGTAGTGTAATGGTCAGCACAATCAGCGCGTATTCGATTGGTCCGTGGTTCAAGTCTCGGTGAGGGCACTGCCCATTTTTCATCTCTCTTGTTTCAAAAAATTACCTAATGTCTCTACAGTGGCGCCCGAACTAAAAAGAAGCTGGTAGATGATGATGCTCCACCGCCAGGATTTGGCGACTGGGTCCCATAATTTCAAGTCTTCCTTTAAAAGGGGTAGTGTATAAAGTATTTCTTCCGCCTTCTTAGTATGCCTTCGTGGTGTAATGGTCAGCACACTCGGCGCGTATTCGAGAGATCCGTGGTTCGAGTCCCGGCGTGGGCATTGCTTAGTTTTCACGTCTTCTGCTTCCAAACTCTCCTAATGTCTCTAATTTCTAAGTCCATTAGCTGCTTTTTCGTTGAATAATGTTAAAACGATATCTTTAGCTGCTGGTAATATTAGGTTTTATCTAATAGTGTGAGCCTGCCCAGTCTTGGCAATTCTTAGGCTTACTAGGCCTATTTTTGAAATCCCATAATTTCCTCTTAAAATATTCTTCAGATTTATCCTTTAAATTGGCATGTTTATATTGAAAATGTCGTTTAAGATACGATGGTTGCATACTTTTGATTGGATAATAGTTCACCACAAACACCACATTAAGGTTGCGGTTCCATTTCATCTCCATTCCAAATAAAAACAAATCATAAATAGCTTTCATTGTATCTTCTGTAAATAACTTTTCTTTTCTTTTTAATATTCTCAGTGCTACTAGATTGTCCTGGATCCATCACCTGTGAATCATCACTTTTCCACTTATTCAATACTACCCATTTTTCCATTTTGAAAATCTGGGTTTCTTTTATTATTATTATTATTGGAACTATTTAAATACACAATATATTACGAGTTCTTTAAAAACAAGCGACGACACGATATTCTAAAATCGCGCAGAAAGGTAAGAAATACAAAGCAACAAGAACACAAAATACCTGCTGGTGGAGACAGTAAATTGACGTAAAAAAATATTCTAATTGAAAATAGAGCAATATGAGGCAAAACGTGGTGGCTACATAAAAACATGCTAATAAATCGGTCAACTCTAAAAGAATTGATGAGATATTATTATTTTTATAGGAACTTATTTTTATTTCCTATTAAATACAACATCCTTTTCTATTACTCTTTTAAAAACATCATTTATGACAAATTTTGTTACGTCTGAGGCTAAAAGAATATTTGTAGGAAAAAAAACGTGTTGCGCTTATGAGCGTCTATTGACCTTGAACAAAGCTCAGATCGCATAAATTTGCGAGCGTTAGAGAAACAGGATTTTGAGGTACTTATTTTGAACTTAATAGTTGAAAATACTTTGTTTCTTTGCGTACCACCAGTGGTACGCCTAGCTAGTTGAGAATCGCTGCCCTAGTCCAACTATTCCAACAACGCACTCCATTTGTCGCACCAAACACACTCCAAATTGAAAAGACAACTGAATAACGAAAAACGAAGGTTTCACAATGCAGTGTAGCCAATCCAAAGAAGAACAGCATAGATAAATGCACCGACCCGATAGCTCACTACTGTATTATTTTAATCTCATAAAATTTATTGACTGTAAATAATAAGGTCAGAAAAATATAATCAGACAAAGACTATCATTATATTATTTATTTTAAAATATATATAGTGACAACACACATTTTAAAATTATAATACAATGTTATTAATGTACTTGTATGTATCTTTAGTAAGAGCTTTTGTAAAAAGGAAATAACAAAATGAATGAATAGATGAATTTATTGACATATTATTAAAATGTTGACATATTTTTAAAATAAACTTTAAAAAATTAAAAAACTTAGAAATTAGACTAAACTAAAACTAAAAATTCTAAGCATTCGAATAAGCGTTGTATCACAGTAAAATACGAAACCCATAACGAGCATGTTGAAACTTCGTTCACACTAAATTTAAGACTCGATCTGTAAGAAAAGGCTAATAACTATTACACTAATAAATAATACTATGCCATATTGCATATCTACAAAGCTAATTGAAAATCGTCAAACACAGTCTTAATAAGGTACTCTTGGACTGTTTTTCAATCCTAATTATACTGGTGAATTTTGAGTCCTTTCAGAATCAAATCTGAAGAGATAAAATTAGGAACAGTATCCTTTTTTTTACGTAGGAACAGTATCCTTTTTTTTATCCTTTTTTTTAATTGTTTTAAGAAAACTCGAAAAAACAACTATCCAGCCGGCCCGTTTGCCTGGCATCGATGTTGAGTCAAAATTCCAGTATTCAGCGGCCTTAATTGGCTAGAGATGGAACTCTTCTTTTGCTCTCCGAAAAGAAAAAATACGTCCTTTTTTAAAAACGGCCTTCAAACATCAGTCAGTCGAAAATTATATTTAAAATGAAAGTTAAAATTATTTGCGATTTTATTCAATGACGAATTAAACTTTCTAAAGAGTTTGCTTTTTCTAGCAGAATTTACTTTAAAATTTTGCTGTTTACCGCCAAATTTTTTAAAAAGTAATATAAAATAGGCAAATTTGCATGTCAGAGTGCAGCTTGAACCTATGCAATTCAGAGATGTACAATCAGAATGGGGTCTACTTTTGTAAGCCTTGTTTTAATTAACCAGTATAATATCTAAAACCAAACTGTTACTTAGCAGGTTTGCAAAAATAACATTGCTTGACTTGATAATTAGAAACAAATTCAGGATTAGTGTAAAGTTCGTTTTATGATTAATACAACTGTGTGAGGCTGAGTATTAGATTGTTTAAAATATAACGAATATCTATCTTACTTTACGGAGTGTGATTACATTTTGTTCGCACATTATAGGTTTTACAGTAAACTTAACTTATTCTTAAACTTATTTTAAATTACAGAATATTTTCAATCCCGATATGCAGAATATTGCAGCATATAAGAGATAATTGCCAAATGTAGGAGATGAAAATACACATCTAGCTACTTAACGAACGAATTAAAAATCAAGTCTTGGCTTCTTAAATCTGTCAAATTTTGAACGTTATTAGCTTTTGCTAATTATACTGTCTGACATAATAATAAGAATATTGCAGAATAAGAATTAATTGATGCTGAACTATAATATGTTGATTAGTACAGGAATAATGCACCGTGATAAGACATTTAAAGAATAAAAAATTAGTCACAGTACGAAAATAATAAGCCGAATGTATTTTTTAACATACGAATGAAATTCCTGTATTTTTCTTTCCTATGGTACGAATGCAAGCGTCAAAAGGTTTTAAATTTTTATTTTAAATACAGTTGTAATGGAAGTAAACAATTTATTTCTGTTAAAATTGTTGCTTTCGCAATAGTTACGACACGAAACCTTAGATGTTTTAAAGAACACGTTTTTCCCCTTTCTAAATTATGCTCAGCTTCGTTTACTCTGACTTGAACAAATCAACCCAATGTTAAACACGCTTCAGTGCTCAGTGCTCCAAAAGAATTCTCCATTTAGCAGGCGGAAATTTTAATGATTACAAGAATTTTTTTACCCGAAATGCAATTTACAAGGCTTTCTTAGAAAATGAATAAATCCTACTCGTACATAAAAATGAATCATTGCATCCATTTCGAATATATAAAGCAAGTTTTCTAACTCCCAGATACAGCATTAAGAACTTATCCAAGTTAAAGAACGCATCATGTTTTGGCTTGCACTGTTTGTGTTCGCTTCCTCAACTGTGTCCAACGGGTATGGGGACTGTCAGGCTGCGAAATATTTAGTTACAATGGGAGAAGATGAATTATTAGAAACAGTGGAGTGTGTTTCAAAAAGTGAGTTTTGATCTCTATTTAAAATTAATGCAGTGCTATACAATTTAGAACATGAAATTTTACATTTTAAGGGAGAAAAGTCCTGCGATTTAAGTCTGGAGTACTGATGTACTTCGTTCCATATGTTATGATAAAATTCCTCATAAAAGCCCATTTATATATATTGTTTACGTTTTGCTGAATCCAAAATCTCTAAAATTGATTTGAAGTAGATTCAAGAACTAGAAATCTAGTCCCAGGAGAATAGCTAAATTAAAAGAAACGCAAAGCTATGAGAAATCACTTTATAATTTTAATCTTCCAAAACCATGATTTATACGTGCTACATATTGAAAACTCACAAATATCTTTTTTCTGGCTACTCAAGTAAATTTAGAACTAGGGTTTTAAGGATAGTACACTCTATTAACAAATGAATTATTAAAAATAGAGCAAAATTCTAAGGTAAGGAATTACATGAATAGCAAAATTGTGTTATCTTTTCAGGTAAACAAAGAAATTTTCAATTTTTAACCCTTCACAGGCGGATGTTAATTTTTCGTTAACATGTAAAATCATGTCCTGACAAAATAAAATTCGTAGGCTCGATTAAGTATTGAAAACTGACAAATGAGGAGATAAAAGAACCTTTACAAGCAGTATTTTATGAATTTATCATCCGCATACCTTGGTAAGTGGTGCCATCATGTGAAATTTGAGTCCTTTTGTTTATATTTCGCCCGCCTTTATACGTAGAAGATTCTTGTATTTCTGACATTCGGCAAATCAGAAGATCATTGATAAACCTTTCAAATGCAATCATTATATTAGTGATTAAGAGGCTGAGCAGTTTAAAAGCAATAAATACCCTTTTTAATAATATATTTATTGAAATAAATTTAAATACATTTGATTTTTAATATATCCATAAATAACTTCTATCATCATTTGTATCTCTGTTATAATTGCTAAATATATATATTTCTAATTTCACATTCTAAGCAATCGCTACAGAATCCCTTTTATTATCATTATAAGTTTTTACATTTTTTTTAATTAAAAACATTTAAAAAAACTTTTAACGGTAAAGACTTCTTTGAGATGTTAGAATGTAAATTGAAGTTAACAAGAAAGACATTTATAAAAGTCATTTGACCCCAATTGCTTAACTAAGGCAGCTTCTTTAATTTCATTAATGATATTGCATAACATTCATAATCAAATTAAACTTTTTTTAAATGTTTTCAGCAGTTAATATAGTTACTCGTTGTACACTAACTTCCATACCAAATTACTTTAAAACAGGCTTAATTAGAAAATTATTATGTGCCTTGAGAAATTAAATTAATAGCAAAATAATAATTTACATTCAATTTAATTTAGGTGAAGATCCGCTGGTATGCAAAAAATTTGCAGTTTGTGAAAAACTCATGGCACCTAGGGTAAGCACAATTGCTCTGAAGCTTGTTTTTATACATTATATTTTCATATTGATGTACTGCGTACATTGAACCACGTATAGTATCTAAATGGAATATGCAGAAATTTTAAAATTTTCAGATGATAAAAATCAAATTAATTAACATAGAGCGTACGTATCTAATAAACGCACTTTGTATAAACGTGTTTTGATTTTCCAGATTCAATTCACATTAGAAGATTGTAGGAAAGAACTTGCTGCTGAAGAGCCAAAAAAGTGCTCTTCCTCTTCGATTATTTTTGAAACTCCGGAAGTACAAAACAAGGTAAGAATTTTCAAAATTATTTCCTTGTAAATATGAATAAATCCAAATTTGATTATGGAAAGGTAAATTTAAAAAAAATCAACAATTTTTTTCGAACGAATTTTACCATTTATTACAAACCTAGTTTATGTTTTACTCAAAAGCATCCTTTCATGTATTTATATCTAAAGCTCTTTTTCTGCTGTTGTTGTTGATATGACTTAGATCACTTGTCTGACAGTAATATCAGAACAAGCCCACGAAATTCATCCTGGCAAGGAGTGCAAGACTGGGCCTGTCGTTCGCAAGAGGTTTGAGCACGATACAGGTGACAATACGACTTCGCTCAGTATCGTCCACCAGTTTTAATGGAGAACATCCCGGAGGACGGGTGCGAGGGTCTCGCACTCCTCTTCCCCTACCACAGGGTTTGGGGAGGACTTTCAGCTCACCTCATATTTAGAGTGCTCCCATGCCGCATGGTACATTTACAAACATCCATGCCTTCTCCGGGACTCGAACTCGGGGCATTCAGTATTGCAGTAGGCTGTACCATCTGGACTGCTGTTCGTTTTCTTAATGTATTTGATTTAGGACTTAACTATAAATATGGAAAAAAATCAGTAAAAATGTCTCAACTTCGATTTTTTTTTTTTTTTTTTTTTTTTTTTTTTTTTTTTTACCCTTAGTTGAAGACTCTTCGGATAAGAAAAGAAACAGAAATTTTGCCGACCTATGGAACATATAGCTCGCTGAGTAATTAGCTTGAAAAATTAGATACGCTATCATGGAGGACTGAAAAAAAATATATTCTACTTGTTAAGCTAGATTTGCTGACCGCTACATATAACATACATGTGAAAAGAGTGTCTTTAACCCTTCCTTTTCAGTTAACTGTTATTTAAAATGTAATTCTAAAAACAAGACATGTAAGTAGATTACAAAAGATTTAATAACAGAATACTTTCAGTATAAGATGAGAAAAATGACAGCGAAATCTACAGGTTTATCAATGTTTCAGTGCGAGAATGTATTCCATAACATTACAGATTTCAGTTACAGTTTTAATTCAGTTGAAATTAAATTTTCTTTACAATATGGCAGTAGAACCTTTTTTTTATTTAACAATAAAACTTTCTTAGATTGTAAATTAATCTTATAGCGTATTAGCGATGAAATAGGTATTAACTTATAGCTATGAAATATTAACTTAATTTTTACTTTAAGCTTCAGACTTTATTAAACTGCCATACGAACTATACATACATTTGTTTTCAAACACAAAATACGCTTTTCAGTCTAATAAAAACCAGATACTTTTCTTTTTATTCGCAAATAAGAAAGTAAATAACACACTTATAAAAGTTTAACTTCTTCTTCTGTGATATACATAGAGAATTTCTTTAAAGGTATTATCATCTTGCAACCTAGTTGCTCTATACAGGGCATCTCAAAAGGTCGTTGTCAAATTTGACATGCTGGTCTGACATACCCTGACAAACAAGATTTACGGAGGAACTTGTGTCCGAAAATGGGAATGGCGACCGCTAGAGGGCAATGTTCGCAGGCTTATGAAAGAGTAGGAAGTGTATTCATTTCAGGCGAGAACGCAGCAAGAGAAGGATGAATCGGTTTACTATAATAACTCAGTACTTTATGGACATTTTATGTGATATTTTGTGGAAAGAGTGTTGCTGGGTCCAATAGTTGACGTTCCAGCAGCTACATGCCGAAACACGTGGTTTCAGCATGGACAATTTAATAGCAGTATGTGGGAATACCTCTATAAGACATATTTTGGTCGCTGGATTGCACAGCCGGAACAGTCGCATGGCCACCACGACACCCCGACTTGATTCCCCTGAATATATGCATGTGGAGATAAATGCAGTCTATGGCGTGTCTATGCTTCGAATTATCCTAGTGTCTCTACAACGTCGCCCGAACTAAAATGGTGGTGGATGATGATTCTCCACCACCAGGATTTGGCAAGTGGATCCTGTAATTCCCAGTCACCTTTTAAAACGGAGAGTATATAAGGTATTTCTCCCGCCTTCTTAGCGTGCCCTCGTAGTGTAGTGGTCAGCAGACTCGGCACATATTCGAGAGGTCCGTGGTTCAAGTCTTGGTGAGGAAATTGCACATTTTTCACATCTCCAGCTTCGAAATAACCCTTAATGTCTCTACAAACTATCTTTTTAATTTTTCTTACTTTTTTTATTTTTCATGCACCAGGATATTATACTGGAGATTGTTAAAATTATCTGGATTCAAATATTTCCTATATGAATACGGTTTATTTTTTACGAAACTAATTGATTACATAACAGTGGACTAGATAATACGTATATTAAATGAACCTGTACTTCATACCAAGTTTCATACAATAAAAATTTAATTTTGTATTAAATATTGACTTATTAAATAAAAAATGAGTATTTGCAGGTAAATCAAATTGTGTCATTTCTGTTTCTCAAAAGACATCTTCTACTCAAAAGAAAAAGGTAATATTTCAAAAGGCTACTTATTATTGTTGACCTTGAAAGTACGAGTATAAAGGAACAATTGTCATATGACTGACATTTCGGAAAATCTCAATAGAAACGTCTCTCAAACTTTCCATTTTCAGGAAGGGCGTAGCATATATACACGTCATATTTCTGTTTAATATGCTTCACATAGAAAATTATTAGTTTGCAGAGAATGGGAATGGGAATCAGATATCTCAAGGAAATTATGGTTTAAAAATAAGTATTCAATCATAGCTAAACTAATTAAAAATAATTTTTTTTTTATTTGAAAATGTGAAACTGTTATGTTTCAGAGTCTCAAATGCATTTCTATTACACATTATACGTCATTTTATATTTCAGATATTTGAATGTGTTGCAGAAAAAGTTGAAAAGGTAAATAAATTTTATAATGCCTTCCTTTTTAAAATTTACTGAATCTGAATTCTAACAAATTTTAAAATAACATATTCAACGAAGATGTTGTATTTTCATTAAATGATTAAACACATTTCATTAAATTATTGAATATATTGTATTTCCATTAAATAATTATATTTATTACTAAGTTCTAACCTCGAACTACTGTCTATATGATTTTTATCTAATTCTATGGAGGAATGTATTCATTACTTTTGAAACAATTTATTTAATAAATTTCCAGTATTTATAATCAATCATAACCTAACTTTGATATTGTGGGTTAATAATTCTGAGACGTGTAATTTTATGGAAATATTCAATGATATTAACTATCATATTTATTAATTTCGATATTTTTCTAGGAATTTTGCATTAATTGATTTCTGAACTTAATGAAACAAATTCTTTTCAGCTTACGTTTCCTGAGAAGAAAATCATGTTTAATTTTGAAGTAAGCTTTTTAACAACATTCTTATAATTTTCAAAACAGGATGTATAAATTTGTAAAAAGGAAATGACACTACTTTAAAATATATCTATAAAAATTGCTCCACTTGAATATGCTTGGATATGCTGATCATTTTAAAATGGTATATCTGCTATTATTTTTAATTTTTATTAGCAGAGATTTTTATTACCACAGGTATCTTGAAATAGAAATTTTACTCATTTTTTCTCTTAAACAGGAGTTAGTATCGTAGCCATCGTAGGAATTAAGGAATTATTGTTTTATAATCAAAATACTTTTTTTTTTCAACTTCTTATGCCTCATAGCATTTTAAAATTATTATTTAAAATTTCAGTAGGATTTTTTTCGACATTGAGAGAGCTTTAAATCATCAGTAGATTTTACGATATAATTTTAATTTGATGCTTAAAGATGGTTTCAAAGTAATTATAAAAGCATGCTTAACAAAGATGGGAATTATTAATATCATATATCATTTACCATCTAAAATATTGTTACGAAATACGTCTATCTGCAGTAACATAGCTTCTTCGCAAAGCGGGTTTAGGGTTGCCAGAAAATGACAAGGAAAGGGTTGCCAGATTTTGCGCGAAGTCGCCCATTTGGTGAAATTTGAAGACAAAATTGGCGATATTACATAGACGGAGCGAGAATATTCTAAAACGAATTCTTACCGGTTTACCTCAGAATATTCTCGAAGGCAGGCCAAAAGCTATATAAACCCTGCCTGTTGACATCAATCACTCCAAATCCACAAACCCGTAGAACGCAACAATATTTATTTTAAACTACGTAATTTTATTTGTGTCTAATTTAGCTTCAATACTTTTATAAAAAGTAAGCTACTTATACAGTATGCTATTGATTTAATTTTACAAATATAAATAGTTGAATCTAACAAATTCTCGGTTTCTCAATTAATATTATAATGTATCCCTCTAATTTTATTACTTTTATTGCTGCTAGGAAGCATTTTTGCTACATTATATATTAAATAATAAATGGTATTTTGTACCTCTAATCAAATATTAATATTTTACAGGAATGTGCCAAAATGTTAGCTGAAGATCATTGCGAGAAGGAAGAAGGTTAAATGGAGTTATTTATTTTTAGAATTAAATCTTTTACTTTTCACTGATCTATAAATAATCAACTTTTTCATTTGTCATCTCACAAACGAGAAAAGAAAACATTTAATGTATTATTTATTACATTAATAAACATCACATATTCAGTTTTCATAAACATTGCGACTCACAACTGAATGTGATATTTTGGTGAAAATTTTAATGTTACTTTTTATTATTGTTATTTTGAAGATGATCTATTCGGGAATTATTTACACCTTTCGCCTTTATAATATTTAATTCATTTGTTTTGAGTTTTTTAATTGCAGTAAATTATAAGACATGCTTCCAAGTGTTAGTGAGTAATTATTAAAATGTAAGCTAGGGCAAAATGCCGTGTAATATGACCGCAGCTCGAGATGGGAACTGTACGATACGTTTATAAAATTGGGAGGTGTATGTATGTACCTGTCACATATGGAAAATTGCTCAAATTTTAATTGTCTTGGCTTTTTACAATATACATATTACAGCACACCTGAAATTGTATATCGCACGCAATACAATTTAAAATGAAAAATAGAATACAGTTTTTCAGCTTACTTTACAGCATGTAAAATTACGTAAATATTGAATCTTATTGCTGAGAACGATGCAGCGAGAGGTGTTCTAGATCTAGAGATACAAGCCTAAAAAGTGCTGAACCCTAGCGTTGACCAGGAAATAAAAAGCTGTGACACGTATAAAATATAAAGGGAAAAACTTTTTTAATTTATTGATTGATTGTTAGACGTAAGCCAAAATTTATTTCTGCGGAACGTAGCTAAGAGGAGGAAAAAAATATGATAATTGACATATTTCACATAAAAACGTTTGATTCAAATTTTAAAATTTTAACTGTTTAGTCTAATTATTAGCAAATGCTTCTTAATAGTTCACGAAATTATCAACAGTTTTACTTTCGTAACATTATATTGGAATCCGTTTTTAGTTTCCTTTTTTTTTAAATTACAATTTTAAAATACAAAACGAACTGCGAAAGAAGGAATATCTTTCATATTCCAAATCAAATTGCCAGGTAATTTCTGTTGGGGAAAAGAAAAATGTTTAAGACAAAGAATATTTAGTCAAGTGGTTATTATCAATCCATTAAAAATTGCAGCTACAAACCAATTTAAAGATATTTGCCCAAATGTATAAACATATATACCGTTCTTCGTTCTGTAACATAATTATTAATTATCACAGAAGATATTATATTTGACTTTCAAGTTTGTTTCCTAAAAGCTTTTAAATGTATTAAAACGTAAGAGTTTACACTTTGACATCAAACATAAAAATATTGAAAAAAATTAAATAAAATTTATCAAGAAAAGCTACTAATTTGAATTTTAAATATTTAAAAAACATTTTTATCTTTAAATTCATTAAAATAGAAAGGTTCAGCGCATATTGAGACACAAACGACATGATTCTCTTTTTCAGAACAGAAATAGTTATAAACGTAACTGTTTTTCTTCTTATTATTATCATTGTCATCCATCAAGTTTTCCAGAAAATACTGTTAAATTGTAATTTTTTTATTTGGTAAACATACTAATATCCTTCAAAAAAAAAAAAAAAAAAAAAAAAAAAAAACAGAAATTTGGCTCTGGGAATGAAATTATCCGCAAAGAAAGTTTGAATGTCACTAAATGTGCACTAAAAGAAACAAAATACCTGAAAAGTAAATGAAAAGAAGTGTATGAAAAGAGGTTAGGGATCTTTATACATTTGAACGGCTAGAGGCAAAATGAAACTTGCTCATTTTTAAGATTATAAAATATTCACATAAAATGTGTTTGCATTCGGTTGTGAAATAAAAAAGTTTATTATGTACTTCTTCAACATTATTATGAGAAAAACCTATATATCCTACCAATAGCTACGCGGCCAACATTCGTCTGGCTTTTAAATGTACCGGAAAATGCCCGAAGGGAACAAACACCAAACGTTAAATTAAAAAACTGAGCAGAATTTTACTCTGCAGAACAGCTTCATAAAAAAAAAAAAAACTGTCTTACATATAGCAAAATTTCAATTAAATAAGCAATATCCCTTAATACAAATATTATCCTAATAAATAAATTAAACCAACTTCCCATTGCCTTTTCTCAACAAACGTCCAGTATCCAAGATAAACATTAAATTTAAGAACTGCACAGAATTATCGGCCTAATTTTTCCAAGTGGCACCACTGCTGATTATCAACAGTCAGCAGTCCAATATACAATTGAATGAAAAAAACTGTTGCCAAAACCACATTTCGAAAAGAATGAAATTATTCAAAATGATTCAATAAAATCGAAAAGAAAGAAGAAAAAAAAAAAAAAATCTGATTCGAATTTTGAAAAAAATCGCTTCGAGGTGCACTGGCTCTTGTCTAAATGCACCTATATACCAAATTCCGTAGCCCTGGGTCTATTAGATTACGCGCATCACGAACGAAAGACACACATACTCTTTCTTTTATTATATGTAGAGATACTATGTCGCGTGTCTGTCAAATGAAATTATTGCTCCAGTAAAACTGACTTTGCGTATGTCAGATTTTTGAAACAGCCACACTTTATTTACTTGTTTACACAATAACAAGTACACTTATTTGTCTATGTTTTCACATTTCCTTTAGGAAACTTAAGCTAAAAAAATTATACCTAAAAAATATCTCCTTATTCCTCAAAATAAAAGTTTAACAGGTTTCAAATTTGTATTTCTTAACCTTCTGTTAGCACTGCAATTCAAGGGAACTCGCAGAGTAGCTGGTGCTGCCATCTGTTGGATTATTATGAAACTATTATACTAATAAATTTAATTTGAATGCCTATTTTGATTTTTTAAGTAAAGCTAATACTGCTAATAATAATAATATTTTAATAATATTCACACGGCTTTGTGTTTTAAATCCGAACAGAATTTTTTGTTGGAACTGTATTATATTTCACCTGCATTAGTGGCACTAAGTATCAGAATATCCAGTGAATAAATAAATTTCTCGCATTTGACTATCCAGATCTGTAACATTCTTACTGATTTTTTAAACATAATCATATTCTAGAAACATCATAAAATGATATTAATTTTGCTTTCATTATGAGTAGCTCGGGAAGCAAAAATCATTTAATATACTGTTAGTAGTAATTAATTTCCGCCCTCTTACAAACCATGCCGCCATTCGGTATTATATTGAATTTAGTAAAATACGCATATCTTTTGATACTTTACCGAACTGATATAGTTCTAATATTTGAGTAGGGACCACGGATCAGACTTCATTTATTTTGCCGTTGGCTAACAAAAGGAATCTGATCTATTGTAAAGAGTTTTTGGAAATTAAGATACGCTCATAAGGACACCGTAAAATAATTCTATGCATCGTCAACGATATCACTCACGACAGCTTCAAAGGTTGCTGCAATACTCGCTGGAGAGAAGAATTACCCATGAGCTTCTTTTGTTGCCTCAACTCCAGCAGGACGCCAGAATCACGAGTGATACTGCTGTAGTATATTGTCGCGTACTAGTTATTACATGTAAAACTTTAAAAGAGACACATGGAAATGATACACAGCAAGACGAGAAAGGTACTCAGAGATTCGAAAAGGCAATATGATCTAAATGTGTACTACATATATAAGCCACTTCAAAGCTTTTTCCGAAAACCAAATTTTTCAGGTGGCAATAATGATAGATTATGATTTTATTTGGGACAGTTGCCTGGGTTCCTTCTGAGACTATAAGTTAGAAAATTATAGTAACGCCCTAAGTTATCCCCAGAGGAAGAAATGAATAGATTTAAGTGAATAAAATCCAAAAGCCAGTTGGTTGTTCTACCAGAAAAACTTGAATTATAATGATTCAAGCGAAATTTTTATCAAAGGAAAATTCTCTGAAAATAAGCTTTCATAGGTAATGTGATGCCGTAGGAAGATAAAATTAAAAGATGCCATTGGTAATGTGAAATGTCTCATCTATCTCACATGTCTGAGAAGTGGCAGGCAGCATCAAGTCTTTTAACAGCTGGGATTCTTGGAGATACAGTTTTCGTAGAATTCAAGTTGATACTTTTCTCGAGAAAGTATAACTTGAGAATTCTTTTAACAGAAAAAGGGAATCAAGGTATTATTCTTAGACGATGCCTATGAACTTCCTTTTAGTTCGATGGTTTTTTGTTTTAGTATTTCAAAACGTAAAGTCTTATTTCGTGAAAAATCGCGAAATAAAAAGTGGGTATCATAGAAATACAAATTGCTTCAACCCATTGTACCATCCAGAGATCAGTTTAGATAAACACCAGTTTGTAGTGTTTTGCTGAATTCTCTTTGTAGGCAATTAAAGATCCGATTCTAATTTTGGAGAAGTAATGCAAGTCCTTGTGGAGAAAAAGGCCGAATATTTGCATCACAAGAGTCTAACTAGTTAGACTAACCACAGTTATCCAAGCTGTAAAATTCGCTGAACACTGGTAGTGTTGTCCGGGCTTTGAGTCTCGGCCAACAGCCTGGCTGCATGCGTGTTTTTGTGGTTTTCCCGGGGTGTAACGTGTATACGAGCAGGTATTCATTAAAAAGTCTTCCACGGGGTATCCCTTCCTTTCCGTGTAGTGCCTAATGGCGGAGAACGTAATAATAATAATAGTAATTAAAAAGAACTGTCTCATCATGAAGATTAACAACTCATTTTATGGTTTTAGAGCGAATCCCCTTCCCCAAGCCCAGCCACATTTAAAACTTCCGTTTTATTTTTTTCATTGTTATAGACTGAAAAGATCCACTCGTTTGCTTTGAGTTTGGGAGATGCAATCCTTTCGTTTCAGTATCAGATTCATAATTAGAGATCATATTCATTCGATAACCTGCCAGATTCCTGCTTATCGTAGGCTCACCAATGGCAAATTGATTAAACAAGTTCAATAGTGGTAGTTCGACAGCATTTCAGATTCCGACGAAAGGGCTGGTTGCATGGAAGTTTTCATGGATTTTTCGAGACATGTAATTCATGATATTAGTTATAAATATGCGCATTTACGACTTTTAAATGGCTCAGTTTATTAAGGAACTATTATTATGACTTCAAAGGTAAATTAAATATAATTTTTGCAATGAATGGCAAAATTCTGAAAAAAAAAAAAAAAAAAAA